TTTTTTTTTTTTTTTTTTTTTTTAATGTATTCTACATTCCAAAGTCTAAAATGCCCGCTAAAATGTCGTTATGATATACAACTATTACATGTAAATACCGGCGCATTGTTGATATTCGGTAACACGCCAATTAAAATACTGGTCCTTGTTATAAACAAGTTAGAATTATCGATGTTTCAGTCGATCGAAATTCGATCTTTACTTCTTAATGCATGCAACCGACAAACTAGACGAACACAAAGGACTACAGATACCGCCATGTTATGTCATCGATGCGCTGTCATGCACATTGACTGCAAGCTATATGCAAAACAGTGCAGCAATAGGCATGGACTCTTACAGATCCACGAGGAAATTTGAAAGAAATTCGCGATTAACATGTGTGGAAAACATCCCTACTCCTCATTACTTAAATCAATATTGCAGTTGAAGCTGATAAGCTTTGTTGCATATTATTTTCGCAGCCTGCCTAACTGCCTGTTCTTTCCAACTTGAGAATACAGCTGTAATTTATGTTAGCTGTATAATTAGGTTTAAAAATTTAAGCCTCAAAGACCTCCAATTTCGTTAAATTACCTGTAACAAGAACGTCATGGTCCACTTCCGTAAGGTTTTGTCGGAGACTAAACGAACGATTGCGCTTGAATGGAATGCCGGAGTTACTGATCATGACGTGCGCACGTGCAGCCTGAAGATTTTCATGTCACGGTTTTCAGGTTAGCGTGACCGGCTGCGTATACTCAGAGCAACACGGCCCTTTTACTTGTTCCGGTCCTCTGCCATCGTGCGTACTGAGAAAGTAGTCTAATACAAATAACATTTAAATCCAGTGATACAGGTCCTTGAGTGGTGAACATTAATTAATAATCTCACTTGTTCTTTCTTAAGAATGGATGGGTACTCCCAGAAAAATACCTTATTAAAGTCCAAAATCTGTGATTTCCGCACCTTATTTATGACCTGATCTTAAATTTGATACCTCATTTAAGACCTGACCCTAAAATCAATACCCTGTTTCAGACCTGTTTTATAATTAGTTCCCTAGTTCAGACCGATGTAAAGGCACTTCGAAGGGCTTTTGTTGACGGTATTATCGATAATGATGAAAAAGTAGCTTCTTCTAAAAATACATACTGAGTTTCAGACTAGAGCGCAAAAGCCATACCCTATTTAAGACCAAAATGGCCAAAATCGATATCCCATTTATGACCAAAACGACTAATAAACACACACTGAATTTGCGGGAGGAACAAAAAATTTCTATGAACTGAGATGTACGTCTCGCTCTGTATAGTTTTACGGAAATGAACCAAATACTAAACTTTTTGATACGCGTTGAATTGAAAAGCTAACTTATATTGGAAAAAGATTAGAATCCCTGCTTTACATGAATGACGGCTTCAAACGTCACCAACACAGACCGAAGACAACAGTGGCTTGAATAAACAAAAAGACTTGCAGAACGCTGTTTTGAGGTACAACTATCGTGGCCATGTGATTCACAAAAGGAACAAATCTTCACAGTACAATAAAACTTTTAATCATCATAAAGTTGTTAAGTTGTATATTAAATGCATTTAAACTGCTACATCATATCTTTGTTAAATCCATGTTACATCCACAAAATAATATATTCAACCAAGTGTAACTCATCATCGAATGTCTTTCTATGGCTGTACCTATTGCTCGCAGAAAAGGACTTATTTAACAAGAGGAGAACTGAAAATACTGTCCACGACTAAGCAAGAAAAAAAGATAGGCGCTGTTATTACAAGGACACAGGTCCTAAAATTGACACTTGAATCACAACGTTCCCTGCGGAGAACAAGATCTACAAAGCGGGTCAAAGACTACAGCCACGTACGTAGTTTTCTGTACCCATTCAGTGGACCTAAATTTAAATACCTGGTAATAGTTTTAAGAACTCAGATCAGGGTTGATTAATTTCGGAATTTCATTATATAATTATCAATCTAATCAAGATTCAGCCAATCTGAAAAAAAATAGAAAAAAAGAAATCATAAGAGAAGCACCTTTAACTAGTGTAACGCCAAATAATGAATTCTATTTATTTCCAAACGTCATGTAGGGACTCACTCACTCACTCACTCCTCGTCGTGTCCTTGGGCAAGTAAGGCCATCCAAGGACTAAGATAAATTGTTCATATTCAGCGAGTAAATAACAGACTTCGGTGCTCAACAACAAATATGGACAATTGTAGCCTAAAATACAAGCCTGAAGGTACGTTAGCGTGTGCTTAGTAACTTACAAGTTGATGCATTCAATGTTCGTGTTCATGGCCTCCTTCTCCATCAGCGATTGCTATCAGCACCACAAGAGCAATGACAACACCAGATACAAGAGCAACTGAGAACCCCAACATCAGCTGACGTGCAAGCAAAAACTGAAAATATACGATGTATTAAAAGATACGAACTCTAATGTATGCAATCGGAGGCATATCACCTTCTGATGCATATATGTTTCTGATGCAATCCAATGTGTGTATAATAGAAAATGGTTTGAACCCAGGAGTATCAGTAGTTCGTATAGTGTGATCGTCCAGGTGATGGTAGTTCTGAAAAGAACTGTTGTTGGTGACTTACGTTTCGACAACCTGAGTGGAAGTCATCTTCAGAGTCAAGGGTTCACTTGACTCGGTGTCAGAGTCACTTGACTTGACTCTAACATATGCCATCAAACGAGTGTTAACTATTATAAGAAAAAGTCGGTTTGAAAAAGTTTAAAACAGTCGGGGGGATGGAGGAGGACTTAGTAAGTAACAACAGTCTTGGAGACTTCCACGAACCCATAATTTTCTGTTTTACTCGCTGCAGCAAGCTGACGTAATAATCGCGGATTACTCGCGAGTTCTCACAGTATTTTCACATGATAGTAAAATTGGCTGCTTCACCAAAAACTTTCTGAACTATACTCGCCACTTGAAAGTAAAACTGATAGATTACAGAAAATAACGGTAAACTAATGTATGTTAATGAGCCAATCTCGTACCCAGATCTCTTGGGCAACCTTGCCCGAGCGAGAGATCTGAAAACGAACTTATGAGTGAGTAAGCCTCAAACCTGATCTCCAGCGGGTTCAATGACAACATGACCCCCTGTGAAGGGAAAATAGATATAACAATGCATAAATTTTCATGCTTTAACTGACGGATTGATTGCACTAAATAATAATAATAATAATAATAATAATAATAATAAT